CCTTTACAAGAATCCAGTTTACAGTAATTCCTATACCATCGTAGCTTACGACTCATCATAGCCTTCAGAGCAGACGTGTAGCTGAGACGTGTACCTGTGTAAACCGAAACATAAAAAGCACACAAGTAACAATAGATGTAATTAGCAATTCTTAGAACTAATAGCCCACAAACCGTTCACGGATGAGTCACCGACAAGCAGCGAGCGACGACAATACAACGGCTGGTCGCTCGGTAGTGTCAGTACCCTACTGCTCGTCAACCAGTGAAGACGTGTGTCGAGGTGTTTTAGTGTATCTATCTATTGTGTCGAAGGAGAAGTTAAAAGTTTCGCGTACAGTTTTGATATACCAAGACTGCGTGTAACACAATGAGTGCCACAACTGAAGAATCTACAACGGCTCTCAAAGAGATGTCATTTGCTGAGAGACAGATGGATCGCATGAAAAGATTGCGATCACTGCACACTGCTAGAAATGAAGCAAGGACGCACAACCATCAAGAAGTAATTGCTGAGGAGGCCAGGAACAACCTGCCGCCGAATTACGAGGCGAAGCGACGACAAGCTGAATGGCTGCTCGACGACCAAGCAAAGCGTCAAGAGGCAGAGAAAGCAGGGAAAGATTACGACAGAGTGAAACTATTAAACATATCAGCAGTAGAGGCTGAGCGACTTGAACGTAAAAAGAAGAAGAAGAATCCTGATGAAGGATTCTCTACATATGAACAAGCAACCGTGAGGCAATACAACAGGCTGGTTAAAAATATGCCAGCAGCTGATATGGAACAGTATGAGAAACAGAAACAGAAGTATGGCGATGCTTTCTTTGGTGGACCTAATGTTATCATTCATGAAATGCATAAGGACCGCCGACAAGCTGTCGACAAGATGGTTGATGACCTGGAAGGGCAGATTGCTAAGAGAGCTCGTTACTCTAGGAGACGTGCACACAATGACGATGCAGATATTGATTACATTAATCAGAGAAATGCAAATTTCAACAAGAAACTGGAGAGATTTTACGGAGAGCATACAGCTGAAATTAAACAGAACTTGGAGCGTGGAACTGCCATATAGTTATTGTAAGGTAAAACTATTTGTCCAAAGCTATTGAACCTTGATAGTACAGTTAGTTGTAGTGGTTTGGGGTATAATTTTATGATAATTATATTGTAAACTAAATCATAGTTAATTGTGATGTAATTGTTAATGTTTATAATTATGAGCCTCTAGCATGGCTTGAAACTAGTCGAGTTCCTTGTGAAACAGTTACGCAAGTTAGCCGAAAACATAATATGTAATTGTTAATGTTGTATAGAGATACTGAGACACCACAAGAGTGTGAAAACTTTATTTGGGTTTATAGTGTTTATAAATCTACCTATTGTCAGCTTTCGTAATTTTTTTATAGTTTCATATGTTTAGAACTCGGTAATTATGAAATGCCTATATTAAATTCATTTTGGAGTAGATTGTATATTGTATGTTAATCTAGTTTAGCTTTAGTTCGTAGTGCTAATTATCACCTGTAAGGGTTAGAATGTATCAGAGTTGTAACAAAAGTTTATTCCAATTTGTTCGCCTGGGTGATATAACTCAAGCCATTGAATTTTGTTTTTCATATAAATTAATTGCTTTTTATAAAATGAAAGATTTTTGAATTTTAGTTTGTATCTTCCTGTGTGTTAAAAATATATTTAAGACTCAATAAATATCGTGTAAAAGTGTCAACTATTTCTTTTATTTCGATTACCTGAGTCGTTGAGTTTTAATTTTGAAAGACAGGTAAGTAACGGTACTTAATTGTCATCAATTTTTTTTATAATTGATGTACCCGAAGAACCAAAATATGCGGGTACGTCTCAATAAGACGTACCCGCATATTTTGGTTGGTTCTTCATTTTACCATTTAATGTTCCACGAATTACAGCGCATATGAAGGTAAACTGGAAATAATTACAGCCGATCCCTTTGTACCTACCGTATTGTATCCTATGGTATCTATTAGTAAAATCGTAATTTTAATGTTATTTTTACGCATGATATCTAATTCCTCCTTTGGTTTTTTTTTGCTGAAACCTTTGAAAAGTTCACCTGCATTTGTTTTATCGGTAATGTACGGAGTGTAAAGAGAACGCTTCCAAAAAATATGATGAGTAGTACCTACAGTTAAAAATAAAATATGGCTGATGATCAATGATAGAATGCTAACGCGATCAATGTTGACCGACGTTAGTGAAGTTTTCAGTCGGCAGTTATTAACTTCATAAATAAATACTTCGTACATCAGATTCTACTAAATTTTAAAATCCTACGATCAACGGTCATATTTTCGAACTTTGCACCTACTGTCTATTTGCCTTCGTCTCAATAAGACGTACCCGCATATTGTGGTTCTTCATTTTACCCTTTAATGTTCCACGAATTACTTACAAAGACAAATATCATTGTCTCATTTTTTAGACAATGCTAACAGTAGTCATCCTTATCACTTACCTCCAGCGATCTGTTCCAGTTAACATTAGGATGGAGCGTGGGAATATTGTTGGTACATATAATCCGTACTCCATGTTATTTAGATATGTCTCTCATTAACTCAAATCATTATCGGACTAACTATATAACTATAAGTCTTATCGGGTTTCAAAATTGAGTTTCGTTCGTTGGACTGAAACGACGCGTTCATTTTTATATTTTTTTCTAAGCAACCATTTGACTTATTGCAACGCCGCAGTGTGGTATGGCAATATTAACAATTTGGCATTTAGATGGTCTAGTAAATTTACCTACCTAGAGATTAACACATAGGGTTTGTAGATAAAATAAAAAGTATGTTTACCTCATTTATACAATATTTATTAAATATTGGTACTTATCTAAAATATTTCTTAAAATACATAATTGTGTATCGCAAACATCACAAGAGCTATAACTGAAACACGTTTATTTACATTTTTACAATACAAATAGTAATATACACAAATGCACACACACCTAGACAAATATTTCACATAATATCTAGAATCAAGAGCAGCGAGGTCTTTTAGCAATCTGTCCTTCCCGAGAGTCGAGCAGCCATTCAGCTTGCCGTATTTTCGCCTCGTAGTTCGGCGGCAGCTTATTCCTCGCCTGCCCAGCAACCACTCCTTGATGGTTGTGTGTCATTGGTGCAATTCTAGCAGTTGGCAGTGATTGCAGCCTTTTCATATGATCCGCTTGTCGAAGAAACGACAGGTCTCTGGGGACTGTTGAGAATTTTTCTAACTGTGCGCTCATTTTCGTATTATGATATTTAAGACACTCACGGTATTGTTGTACTAAAGTTGTACACGAAACCTTCAACTCTTTCTTCGACAGTGAAGAACATACTGACACACCTCGACACACGTCTTCACTAGCCGACGGCTGAATTTTTATCGGTTTCGGTTTACATCCTCGCGCTTCAGCTACACATCTGCTACGATGCGATACGTCCTAAGCTACACATTGCTACGACTCGTAGCACCGTAGACGTGGCATAGGAATTGCTGTAAACTTGATTCTTATAAAGGAGACATTTATCAGAAAACTTATTATTTGCTAAAACGTACCGTCAATATATTCTATTACAAGTTCTGATTAAAGACTGTAAAAGTACATTTTAATTAACAATAGGTACCCAAACTTACCATTTTCCAAATGCGAGCTACGAGTATGTTCCCACGCTGACAGAATAAGTGATAAAGCCACCCATTGTTCTTGTTCCGTTTAAAATATTTGTCTTTGTAACGAAATACGTGTCTAATATTTTTTCATTACCTAACTGACGGACTAATTAGATTTTTAATTTTTATACCCTGTCATCATCCCAATTATACATTGATGGATGATTTAATGCACGTTAGCGGAGGATTTGTTATTTGTGTATTTTTATGGCAAATTATACTTTTGTAACTTATATATAAACTAAATATTCTTAAGGTAGGGGGCCTAAGAGGCTCGAAGAGTAGGAGTAGGTACGGGTGGTTTTTAGTCAGTTAGAGGCTGACACTCCCTCTCGCCAACACAAGGCGGGAGAAATATACTTATGTAAGTCAATGGATGGTTTTCCCCGTCAAAATTAACCTCTGTCTCCTAGAAACCTTAATCCTTTATTGTATCTACCCACACAGTCTAAAGTTCAACGAATTACTTACACCACAGATAAATACCACTTTGGCACTTTTTAAAACAATTAGGTACCTGAGTAGTGACAATTAGGCACCCTTATCGCTTACTTACAGCGATCTGTTCCAATAAACAATAGGATAGAGCGTGGGAACATTGCACATAATTAAATACCATAACGCCGGGGTATTTAAGCACCAAAGTCGAACAAATTCATCATTCGTTCGTCTGTCGCCATCAGGGAGTGACGTCGAGACTTATAAACCTACGATTTTTAAATATTGTTAAATAAAGTTTTCTCACAATGGGTTGCGACGGTGGTACAATCCCTCGACGATGTGAACTCGTTAGGATGAAGAAGAAGCCAGAACAGGTATGTGTCTTTTTTAATCATAATAGTCAATAAGTAAATAGGTTTGCAATGATTTCACGTAAAATTATGTTTTAATGGATTTGATTTGATGGTAAACCATTGGTGCTGCCCACGGAACATCAGAGGAGTGCGGGCCTTTTGGTGATTGTGGTTATTTTTACTTTTACTTATGCATTCTTTCTTTTACACTTACAGAAAGATAAAGATGCAGAACGGTCATTCAAGTGGCGTAACTGCGCTCTGTCCCAGCAACCTTTGCAAGAGCCTGTGGTGGCCTGTGGCCTCGGTAGGCTGTACAGCAAGAATTCTGTGCTAGAGGTGCTGCTGGACGGGGAAACTAAGCCAGACTTCATTAGCCACATCGAAAGTTTAGAGGTATTGTGTACATTTTAACATTTTATTTTTAGTTTCTGATAAAATAATCTAAAGTAATGCTTGTCCTCAATAATTTATTAATTACTAAATGATCCGGCCAACTTCGTACCGCCTAAAATGTTTTTCTCACCTTTTGAACCTTCCCTAGACTCCCACGAACATTTCAAGACCAAAATTAGCCAAATTAGTTCAGCTGTTCTCGAGTTTTAGCGATACTATCGAACGGAAATTAATTTTGTATTTATATCTACCTTCTGCCAGCGGCTTCGCCCGCGATCCCAGGAGTAATATGCCTATGTATTACTTCAGACCATAATCTAACCCTGTTCCGAATTTCATTCCGGTCCCTTCAGTCGTTTTAATATGACTGAGTAACAAAAATACACACAAACACATATTTTCACGTTTATAATATCGGTTCTGGCTCCGAACTGCTAAGCTATCGGGAGTTACACGTGTTATGCGAGTCAATCATAAAAGATAGACATATGCTGTTCTGGGATATTTTTTACATAATTTTATGTAGAACATTTTCGTGATACATGTTTTCTATTTAGCTTTAACCGTTAAGGCTGTTCACGCGACAAAAGCTTAAAAAATGAAGTAACTTCTCCCGCTTTCCCAACATGTCCCTTCACTGCACTGCTCCTATTGATAGTAGCGGGATGGAAAGTATACTATAACCTCCACAGGAGTATGAAAAATAATTGAACAAAGTTTAATTGAAATCCGTCGATTAGTTTTTGTTTCTATAAGAAACATACAGACAGACACAAAAATTTAACTGATTGCATTTTTAACATTAGTATCGATAACTAATCACCCCCCGATTATTAGTTATTTTGGAAATATATTTCATGTATAGAATTTAACAGATAAGTGTAGAATGTGACTTGAGTGAGTTAATTAATACATATTCACATATTTTGTTATCTTCTATCTTCTTTAGATAATAATATCGAATTGTTCATTTTTCAGGACATCAAAGACTTAAAGCTGGTGAAAAACCCCGCATATACAGCTGCGGATCACACCCATGGTGACGTGGGTGCAGGCAATGTCCCCTACATCTGCCCCGTCAGTGGACTGGAGATGTCCGGCAAGTTCCGCTTTGTGATCCTCTGGAACTGCGGGTGTGTCCTCGCAGAGAGGGCACTTAAAGAAGTCAGACAGAATCTCTGTCACATGGTAAGCTTTAAACCATGTTACTAATTTGACAAAAAAAATAGATATAAGCATACTTCCTATGCACCCTAAAGCAAAGAATTCTTCTCTTTTATTCCCTAAATTAGATTAGATAATCCAGTATAGAAGTAGATAAACTAATATTTTCAAACTGCCTGAACAGTTACCAAAGTTGCTCCCTGTTCTTACTTGTTATCAAGTACAACATGTCTAATTTATTGTGTTTTGTCCTCAGTGTCAGCAACCATTCACAGACAATGATGTAGTACCACTTAATGGAACTGATGATGACATAAAAAAATTAAAAGAAAAAATGGCTCTCAGAGTTGCTAGCAGAGAAAGATCTAAAGAAACAAAGACTGAAACAACATTGAAGACAAAAGTTAAGCTTGAGCCGTTGACTCCCAGACCATCCACATCTAAAAAAGTTTCCACAGATGTAATAAAACCAGAGAATGGCATAAAAAAAAGTGAATCAGGCCCTAGCTCGAGGACAGCAGAGAAAAAAGAAAAAATAAAAACAATACCATTGTCTCTGCCCAGGTATAATCCTAACCAGTATGCAAGGGGACATTTTGGATCTAGAAAGCGTGCCCACCCCACAGAACTAGCCCAAGACCCATCATATAAGAAAACCAAGAAAGAGTACAGTGTAGCTAAGGACCCTCAAAACAGTGAAGTGTTCAAGTCATTATTCACTTCACACCAAAGTAATAAAAACCAGCAGAGGGCTCATTGGGTCACTTATAATCCTTTCTATAATTAATAAATTGTAGTTAGCACTGATTTTTTTATTGTTAAGTGGAAGATTGTATTAAAATAAATAAAACAAACAAATGTACAAAAAATGGTACCAACTTTTATTTCCACATGTAAATTGATGAAATTGGTAATAAATACCTACTGCACAATGCACATCGAGGCTAACGAATGACACAAATTACATTTACATATTTAATAAAATATTTTGTGCTTCTAAAAAGTATTTTCGACGCATCTTTACATATAAGTTTTATGAGTATTTTAAACTAAATCAGAACGGGTCCAGCTCGAACCAAACTTTTTAGTCTTGACTAAACTTGAATGTCAAATAAAACGAACACACGTTTAAAAATCTACCAACTGTCAGCTTTCGTAATTTTTTCGTAGTTTCATATTTTAAAACTCGGTAATTATGAAATGCCTATATTAAATTCATTTTGGTGTATATTGTATGTTAATCTAGTTTAGCTTTAGTTTTTAGTGCTAAGTATCACCTGTAAGGGTTAGAATGTATCAGAGTTGTAACAAAGGTTTATTCCAATTTGTTCGCCTGGGTGATACAACTCAAGCCATTCAATTTTGTATTTCATAATATAAATTAATTGTTTGTTATAAAATGAAAGTGTTTTGGATTATATATCTTCCTATGTGTTAAAAATATATTTAAGACTCAATAAATGTCGTGTAAAATTGTCAAATATTTCTTTTATTTCGATTACCTGAGTCGTTGAGTTTTAATTTTGAAAGAGAGGTAAGTAAGTAACGGTACTTCATTGTCATCAAAATTTTTCTTTTATATTCGATGGGCCGACGTTTGACCTTTATCTCGCCTGGTGGTAAGCGATAATGTGGTCTACGATGGATCACGTCGTCCTATAAGCAACCTATTCATTCGGGCCTTGAAGACACCCAGGTTAAACCCTTCAGGAAACCACTCCTTAGCATTACGCACAAGGAAGTTTGATGCGAAACGCTTCGTGCGTGTACGTGGGACATCTAACATGAAGCGGTGACGCTTCGCTGATTGTCTTGTGGTACGATGATAAAAAAAACTAGGGGGAATGAAGTTGTGCAATTCTTCCGCACACTCACAAAAATCACACACAACTCAAGCCATTGAAATTTGTTTTTCATATAAAATAATTGCTTTTTATAAAATGAAAGATTTTTGAATTTTAGTTCGTATCTTCCTGTGTGTTAAAATATATATTTAAGACTCAATAAATGTCTTGTAAAAGTGTCAACTATTTCTTTTATTTCGATTACCTGAGTCGTTGAGATTTAATTTTGAAAGACAGGTAAGTAACGGTACTTCATTGTCATCAATTTTTTTTATAATTGAAGTACCCGAAGAACCAAAATATGCGGGTACGTCTCAATAAGACGTACCCGCATATTTTGGTTCTTCATTTTACCATTTAATGTTCCACGAATTACTTACAAAGACAAATGTCATTGTTTCATTTTTTAGACAATGCTAACAGTAGGCATCCTTATCACTTACCTCCAGCGATCTATTCCAGTTAACATTAGGATGGAGCGTGGGAATATTGTTGGTACATAATCCGTACTCCATGTTATTTAGATATTTCTCTCATTAACTCAAATCATTATCGGACTAAATATATAACTATAACTCTTATAAAGGTTTCAAAATTGAGTTTCGTTCGTTGGACTGAAATGACGCGTTCATTTTTATATTTTTTTCTAAGCAACCATTTGACTTGTTGCAACGCCGCAGTGTGGTTGTGGCAATATTAACAATTTGGCATTTAGATGGTCTAGTAAATTTACCTACCTAGAGATTACTACTTACTGTTTGTAGATAAAATAAAAAGTATGTTTACCTCATTTATACAATATTTATTAAATATTGGTACTTATCTAAAATACATTTTGATACACACACAGAATGAAATATTTCTTAAAATACATAATTGTGTATCGCAAACATCACAAGAGCTATAACTGAAACACGTTTATTTACAACAGGTCTCGAAACGACAGGTCTCTGGGGACTGTTGAGAATTTTTCTAACTGTGCGCTCATTTTCGTGTTATGATATTTAAGAGACTCACGGTATTGTTGTACTAAAGTTGTACACGAAACCTTCAACTCTTTCTTCGACAGTGAAGAACATACTGACACACCTCGACACTGAATTTTTATCGGTTTCGGTTTACATCCTCGCGCCTCAGCTACACATCTGCTACGAATGCTACGATGCGATACGTCCTAAGCTACACATTGCTACGACTCGTAGCACCGTAGACGTGGCATAGGAATTGCTGTAAACTTGATTCTTATAAAGGAGACATTTATCAGAAAACTTATTATTTGCTAAAACGTACCGTCAATATATTCTATTACAAGTTCTGATTAAAGACTGTAAAAGTACATTTTAATCAACAATAGCTACCCAAATTAACCATTTTTCAAATGCGGGCTACGAGGATGTTCCCACGCTGACAGAATAAGTGATAAAGCCACCCATTGTTCTTGATCCGTTTAAAATATTTGTCTTTGTAAAAAATTGCGTGTCTAATATTTTTCATTACCTAACTGACGGACTAATTAGATTTTTAATTTTTATACCCTGTCATCATCCCAATTATACACTGATGGATGATTTAATGCCAACGCAGTCAATGTTGACTGACGTTAGCGGAGAATTTGTTATTGTGTATTTTTATGGCAAATTATACTTTTGTAACTTATATGTAAACTAAATATTCTTAATATTAGTTTCACCTCTGTCTTCTGAGCCGCGGAATGCCTAACAGGCTCGAAGAGCAGGAGTAGGAACGGGTGGTTTTTAGTCAGTTAGAGGCTGACCCTCCCTCTCGCCAACCCAAGGCGGGAGAAATATACTTATGTAAGTCAATGGATGGTTTTCCCCCTGAAAATTAACCTCTGTCTCCTAGAAACCTTAATCCTTTATTGTATCTACCCACACAGTCTAAAGTTCAACAAATTACTTACAAAGATAAATACCACTTTGGCACTTTTTAAAACAATTAGGTACCTGAGTAGTTACAATTAGGCACTGTTATATCGGAATAACTATTACTTAAAATATAAATTAAAACTGCTGAGTTTCCAATGGCATTGACGTCAATGCAATAGGAAACCGTTGCAGTTTTCGTAAGCTATAATAATTGTTTCTGAAGCAGATTGGATTGGACTTCCGTCGGGCATAGTAACCTGTAATACGTGTAATCTATTCAATATATCTCTTTTAGCATATTAAATAGTTTTTTTTTAAAAAACATCTTCAGACCCGCTCCGTAACAGCACCCTTATCGCTTACTTACAGCGATCTGTTCCAATAAACAATAGGATAGAGCGTGGGAACATTGTACATAATTACATACCATAACGCCGGGGTATTTAAGCACCAAAGTCGAACAAATTCATCATTCGTTCGTCTGTCGCCATCAGGGAGTGACGTCGAGCCTTATAAACCTACGATTTTTAAATATTGTTTATTAAAGTTTTCTCACAATGGGTTGCGACGGTGGTACAATCCCTCGACGAAGTGAACTCGTCAGGATGAAGAAGAAGCCAGAACAGGTATGTGTCTTTTTTAATCATAATAGTCAATAAGTAAATAGGTTTGCAATGATTTCACGTAAAATTATGTT